GAGAGAGAGCAAGGAAGACATGCAGCAAAGAACGAAGGCTGGATTCCAACCCCCACTGCTGCAACAAGGGCTAGCCGCACCTTTCCCATGTGAACTACCAGTGCGCCCCACTTTTAAGTCAATACGACATATAAATACTTTAACTATCTGCCTTTCAACGTGCTACCTCAACTACTAATGTACAGTTTTAGCCCACTAACTATCCCACTATTGGCAATGGTACTACTGTACTTTCAATAAAGCAATCGTACTATCAAATTCACAAAAGCTCTGTCTGAATACATTGCTCTTCTTAATGGGTTCAGTTTAGGCTTGTGCAGGTTTGAAAATTTTCCAACTGGTTTGATTTAAAGCCAAATATCTAACCGAACCGATATATCGAATTATATAGCTAATTTTACCACTGGGGGTCGCATTTGAACTATTTTTCCCAATAGAAGCCCATTATAGGTGTAATCCAATCCACTAGGTGGCGGTAATGCTGTATTAACTGCCAATACACACAAGGTTACACAAGAAGAACAAGAAGACGCAGAAGGACACCAAGGAACCTTCCTCTGACTCCGCTCTCTCAGTGGAGACACAGCGGTTGAGAGGGCCAAGCGAGAGGACGTTCCTGCAGTAGTTCCAGCCCCCCAAATAGTACAAGGAACTTCTTCAGTGGAAACAGGTTACTAGGGCAACAAACTGAATGACTGCTGACTCCCACGCACTTTTCCCCGCCCCCAATGAAATTTGATCTCTGGCAGCAGCAGCAGACAGCTAAGTGGAGCGAAGCTGCGGAGGAAGCCTCTGAGACAAACTAAACAAAACACTTGTAGGCTCCTCCACTTCATTTATAAACAAACAAACCTTATTAAGTTGTCATAATGCATGTTACAACGCAAGATAAGTTGAATATAGTCCCTTGACACGCCGCCGATGTGAAAAGCTTTTTTTTTTTTCTTCTTCTCTCCTCCAGTTTATCCGGTTGACGTGAATTAAACCATGTGGAACTCTTAAACCGGACCAAACCGGTTAAACCGGAAATCGGCACAAGCCTAGTTCAGTTGACTATTTAATCTGCAATTTCCTATGACCTGTATCCCAAACACACACCATGTGAAACTGTACGTGGGCAACTGTGCACTCAATGGGTATGGACTAAGTTCTTAATGACATTACGAACTGAGGAAACAGCTCCCTGAAAACACTTTGCTATCTTCTTATAGTCTTCTCCTGCTTTGTGGGCATCAGTTATTTTAGTGTTCAGAGTGCTAGGCAGCTGTTTAGAGGAGCTCATGGCTGCTGATTGTTGGGACAAGGTTTCAAGAGTCAGAATATTTATAAAGCTTTGAATTTTGTATCACCTGGCCTTTCCTAATGGTGACTGTGAACAAGCTAGAGTCCTAACAAGCTAATTAAGGTCTGAGACCCTGGTAAAAGTTGTCTGAGAGTTCAAATGTCATCGGGTGCCCAAACTTTTGCATGGTGCTCCTTTCGTTTTTTTTTTCCACTCTTAAATTGTACAAAACAAAAATAACATACCAGTCATGCCTAACGTGTTGAAAAGCATGTTTCATCTTTGACTTAATTCCTTTTGGAGATCAGTTCATCCATCCCAAACTTCAGACAAAAAAAAAAAAAAAATACACATATATATCAGCAATATCACACCAGAGGGAGTGCTGGTGTACTGTATCACAGCTGTGATGATATACAAGTGACATCTATGAGTTACAGTTAAGTGACAACCAATTATGATTTGTTTGCTTACTGAATGATTTATTTGGCTCCGCCCACACAAACCGTTGTACAGTTTGACTGGGACTGAAATGTCGCCAAGCACATAAACATTCCCGCACAGTTACGTCGTGTGTCTGCGTTACCACAGGCCTGCTACTCTGTATCATGTACATTTACCTGTATGTTTCCATTTATTGTGGAGTCTGGTGACAGTCGCTTTGGTGGCACACGTGTGATGTCATTGAGTTAACAGCTTGGCTAGACAGGTTGTGACATTCTCTGATGTCATATGAGCACACCCGGAGGTTTGCAGTGAAGTATCCTTTACTTCTCTCATCACGGGCTTAGAATTCCTGTTTAAACTTTGCATAACTTTCCCTCATTACAGTTGCGTTGGTCATGTGCTCGACAACAAGAGGATTTTAGGCTCATGTTGTGATGAAAGCTGAACTCATGACCTACACACACACACGTGCACACACTGATCAAACAGTGTGACACTCACTAAAAATGCTTTAACTCTCCACAAACATCCAGCACTGAAAACTACATGTGTTTTTTGTGTTCTCTGCTTTCCAGCAAGTCAAAGGGGAGTCTCCTGCGACAGCCAATCAGCAGACAGACAGAGCACCGCCACTGCCTGCAGAGCAACATATATATGTACATCATCATGCTCTTCACAACCCTCCATCAGATGCTGCTCAGGGATAAGAACAAAGTGGTAGTCGTCAGGTCGTAACTGTGTGAAAACATGAATCACCATCTCCTTTTATTACTGGGTGCTCTTCATATTTCGTCTCTTCCTCCACTGCATTCCTTTCCTTAACATGATCACACAAAACAACACCCACAACAGCCAAACTACCTCCAGATGGAGTTCTGGAGGAGGCACAGAGAGAGGACGGGGGGCAGATCCTCGACACCAGCCACTCCAGCTTGCCATAGCGTGGAAAAGCCGGCCCATGTGGACTCTGATATTGCGTACAAAACCCCTCTACAGCTGCAGGTGACTCAGCAAAACCCCCTCTGGATGTGACTCTGCGGAGCAGGAGTCCGGCCGGTGTGGCAGGATCAAACGTGAGCCCAAGGAACAACAGATACATTTCACAGATACCTCCGAAAGGCAGGTTTTGCCAGCTGTGCAACAGCTCTGTTTGGGCAAATCGATCTCATTTTAATGTGTGGGACTTTCACCCTCTCAACTCGATTCACAGCCAACAAGCAGACCAGTTAAACCCACCTGATCAAATATCACAAAATGAAAGCAAGAGGAAAACACAGGGTGGCATGCAGGAAAGATTTCCATGTCAGAGCTGTGTTCGGCTGCTCGAGATCAGATGTTAATCACTGTATTTCTGCTGCATCATTAGACTGTTCAAACACACGTTTAAAACAGGTCGTAAAGTTTCTTTTGTAGAATTGTGGAGAAATATGTATAAAATGATGCACAAGGTCAGAGCTGCAACTAATGTTGATTCTTTTATGGATTCATTTGGATATTGTCTCTTAAATTATTAATTTAGTCTATAAAATGTCAGAAAATGCAATTTCCTGAGGCCCAAAGTGACGTCTTAAAACTGCTCATTTTGTCCGACCAGCGATCCAAAGTCCAAAAAATTCAGTTTACTATAATTTAAAACAGAGAAATCATCACACCAGAGAAGCTGTTCCTCATATTTGCCTGAATGACTTAAACAATAATTGATTATTCAAATAGAAGCACCTTAATTTCTGCAGATCCGCTAATCGATTAATCGTTTCAGCTTGACACAACACAGCTACAATATCTGCACTTGACGTAACAGAGGAGCCATAAAAGACGAGTTGTTTCATTTCATTATGAGCATCATCCAGCAGCAGCAGAGACACAGTGTGTGTGTGGCGTCACAGCTGTCGGGATGTAATGATCCTTAATCAAGGTTCAAAAGGTTAAATTTGCTTTGATATTCTTACAGTTTAACAGATGCCGAGCGTTTTTTTACGTGCATGATTTTAATGTAAAAGCCGTACCAGGCAGTATGACCAAAACTTTGTATCTTTTTTCTCATGATTGGACCTTTACACAGGTTTATAGTCGCTTATTCTACTGTCAAGAGTACATAAAATACCCATAAAAACATTTTAATGTTGTCATATACACACAGAAGGCTTTGATTACTACAGGGTTTGCTTGGCCCCACAATATGACACAACATAGGAAGGAGCTCATTAAACCATTACATAATGAACCAGTATACTACCCTGCACTATTTTAAAGGAAATATATCTCTATATATCAAAATAAAAGATGCCTGTTTTGCACTTAATGTCTGTTTTACTGTTTTTTGTGTGATGTCATTGTTCAGCCTCTGGCTCATAAGTGCAATACTTATCTCTGAAATGTAGTGGTTGGAAGTAACTAAGTACTTCTACTCAAGTAGTGCACATAAGTACAACTGTTAGGTATTTTACGCCACTGTATGATTCTGCTTCACCACTTTCATGATGTGTCACTACATTTATTTGGCAGATATTACTCTGCAAACATATAAAGTAAACTATTGTAACATATATAACACAGTTAAAATCAGCTCCACAACCAGATAAAATGCTGCTTTTATGTTACGTCATCACTATCTATAATCCAGTTTTACAATATATGATAATATTATTCTGTCTGTATGTGAGTACTTTTACTTTTGGTACTTTCTGGTGGTACTTTTACCCAAGTAAAGAGCCTGAATACTCCTCCCTCAGCTGCTAAAATGCATAGATGGAGACAGTCTCTGAAAATGGAAATACTCCAGTACTCCAAGTACCAATGCTTCAAATCTTTAGATACTCTGACCTGTGCTTATTTTAAACAGGATTATGGTTCAACGTCTAATCAAATCTCACCCTGGTTTTAAATCATTTTTATACCAGATTACCAGACATATTTTATGATATTGATGATGATTAATGCTTCTTCCCTCTTAAACTGATCATCTGACATGGAAAATCTAAATGCACTAAGAAACTAGAGCTGTCAGATGAATTTAGTGGATGGAAAGGTACACTGTTTCCCACTGAAATAAAGTAGTGTAAAAAGGGAAGTACTTATTCCTATACATCCATCAGGTCAGTTTAAAGAGTTTCCATCTACCCTCACATCAGACCATATAAAAGTGTTTTCCCAGGATGAAAAGGGTGTAAAGTGATTTTTGGGAGGCGCTGACCCTCCTTTAGCTGCCACCTGTTGACCGCAGGACAAATCCCAAGCGCCTCTGAGCGGCTTTGTGGATTTACAAACTCACCGATAATTTTCTCCTGGTAGCCCTTGGTGAAGAACTGCATGGCGGTGGCGGCCCTCCAGGGGGTTTTGAGGAGCCCCTGCCGCTGGGGGTCCTCCCCGAGCCCCCGCAGGATGGTGGTGTAAGCCGCGGCCAGGGACGGCAGGCTCATCTCGTTGTCCTCCACGCTCCTGGTGCGCTCCTCCCTCCAGCTCTCCATCACGGGCCGGTGCGAGCAGGACTCGGCGCCCGGCGGAGGCTGAGGAGCGGCGGCGCGCACGGTGCCGCCGGCCGGCCGCTTCACCATCCCGTCAAAGTGTCCGTTCATCACGGAGCCGCTGTCCCCGGTGTCTTTCTTGTCGTTAGAGCCGTACTGTGTCTGTTTGGAGTGCTCCATCACTTGTTGTGCTGTGTTCACCGTGTGTTTCCTGTCAGCTGAGCACTTGTTGGATCAGTTTCTGCTCCTCTTTCACGGATCACTTCTGTTTTTAGTTAAAGTGCGCGCTCCTCTTTCAGCCTCGGCATCCCAGTCTTTATAACAGCAGGATAATCCAAGGACACATCCTATTGGCTAGCAGGCTCCAAGGGGCGGGGCCAACATCTCCTCCACAAGTGGTCGAAGTTGATTCAGAATAAGATTTATGAGCATGTATTCACTGACCAGGAATCTGCTTTGGTTTGTGTTTCATAGAGCAAACACACAATAAAGATATTAAAAGGCAACAGGAACATAAATATAGACAGAAAAACTACAATAAAAATATGACTGTTCCTTAATATCTACAATATAGCTGTTTCAAAATAAATTCACTGTACAGTTTTGTGCAGGATGTGCAGAAGATTACAGTAAAGGATGTACGTGCAAGATGTGCATTAATGTGAAGTATATGGAGAGTGTCTATGGGGGAGACAACAGTTCATGTCAGTCCAAGTACTATCAGAGAAAGAAATATCACTTATCTGTTACAAGTAACAGGTCTGCACTCCATCTCACTTAAAGTCTACAAGAATCAGCATCAAAATATAGCTATAGTACCAAAAATAAAAGTACTCATTTTGCAGAATGGCCTATTTCAGAATTGGATTATAAACTGTGTTGATGAGTAACTAGTTATATGTCAGTTACAGTTACTTAGAAAAAATAAGTATATTAAATTATAGTTACTGATTAAAATGTTGGTGACCACAAAGGGATTACATCTATCTATCTATCTATCTATATATATATATATATATATATATATATATATATATATATATATACATATATTTTATACTGAAAAACTTTTAATAAAACTGGTGTCAGGTTTACACCTCCCGGTTTAAATTAAACATTTCTAGGACTTATTGCACAGTTTAAAACATTTATAAGAAAAGTAATGAAAAAAGTAATCAACTGTAATAAGTTACATTACTTAATTAAAATAGTTACATTACCCATACCATTTTTAACAGGGTAACTAATAATGTGTAACCTATTACATTTCAAAATTAACCTGACTAAAGGCTAATTATTGATGCATTAATGTGCTCATGAGGTGGTAAACAGATATATAAACAAGGTTAGGGAATAATTATTATAATTATTATTGTATAATTAAAATTATTATATTGTATCATTGGAAGCAAATGAGTTATTTATGAAAAAATGCAGAGTAAAAAACATAACAGGCTTAAGAATCATCAGCCTAGAACCTTTTTGTCTATTTTTTTCCTTTTAATTTAACACCATGTTGCTATTTATTCTTATTTCTAAATTAAAATGATTTCAATTACTTTACATACAGTATCTCACATAAGTGAGTACACCCCTCCCATTTTTGCAAATATTTCATTATATCTTGTCATGGGACAGGGACAGTTGTGTTGGTGCTCTTTCAGCATGTGTGAAGCTTGGTGAAGAGCACCAAGACAACTGTCCCTTGCCTACAGTCAAGTATAGTGGTGGCAGCATCATGGTTTGGGGCTGCATGAGTGCTGCCAACTCTGGGGAGCTCGGTTCATTTAGTGAAACATGAATTCCTAGCAGAGCATGATCGTCCCTCTTCAGAAACTGAGCCGCAATGCAGTTTTCCAACATGATAATGACCCAAAACACACCTAGTAGATGACAACCGCCTTGCTGAGGAAGCTGAAGGTGAAGGTGATGGACTGGCCAAGTATGTATCCAGCCCTAAACTCACCTGTGCACCTGTGGGCCATCCTCAAGCTGAAGGTGGGGTAGTGCAAGGTGTCTTCACATCCATCTGCTCCATGATGTCATCATGGAGGAGTGGGAGAGGATTCCTGAAGCAACCTGTGAGCTCTGGTGAATTCCATGCCCAAAAGGGTTAAGGCAGTGCTAGATGATAATGGATGGCACACAAAATATTGACACTTTAGGCACAATTTGGACATGTTCACTGTGGGGTGTACTCACTTATGTTGCCAGCTGTTTAGATGCTGATGGCTGTGTTTTGAGTAATTTTCAGAGGAAGGTAAATCTATACTACTATACAAGCTGTACACCGACTACTTTAAGTTATATCAAAGTGTCATTTCTATAGTGTTGTCCCATGAAAAGATATAATGAAATATTTCCAAAAATGGGAGGAGTGTACTCACTTATGTGAGATACTGTAGCTACTGCAGGGTTGTTTAACCTATATTACACCATAATTTATTCGTTTAAATCTTTTCATCAATAATCTGAATCAGTGAGTAAAGTTATGAAATACATGTGTCACAGTATAAAGTGCAATATTGACTTGCAAAACTGAAAGTTACATTCCACCACTGTCTTTTTGCACAGACGGGATCCTCTGAGGATGAGGAGCTGAGGATGAAGTCATGTTTATAATGTAGCCTGTGTTGGAAGAATACTTCTGTAGCTGTAGAAAGACCTTGTTAAAGTAAATTTAAACTACTTTATATATTATCTGGTATTTTAAATCACCAATAATGCATCATATTAAATGCCTTTGTATCATATGCTTTTTGTGTCAAATCTTATCTGTGATGCAGCATCAGATAAATGTAGTGGAGAATAAAAAAGTACAATGTTTACCTCTGAGGTGCAGTGAAGGAAAAGCAGAAAGTCTCAGAATGGAAATACTTGAGTAAAGTACCAGAAACTCAAATTCCTGCTCACACACAAAGACATTTTAGAGTCAAAGCAGCAGAGGCTGAGATACCCTAGGTTTTCATCTTTCACACTTCCCATGACGTAACTTTTTATGAAACATCCTCATCATTTAAACTTTCTTCCTCTTACTGCTGTTTTTTAGTCCTTGTTGTATTACGCTCTTAAAAGAAGTGAAATCTGGGAGTACCGCCCAAACAGGCCCCTCAGGTCTGCTAGTCTGGGTCATCTAAGTGTTCCAGAGTCCAGGTTAATTAAAGACTTTTCAGTTCTTGCTCCTCAGCTTTGGAAAGATCAGCTGACTCTGTTCGTGTCTTTAAATCTCGTCTCAAAACTTACTTTCCTAACAGTTGATAGACTTATTGTGTGTATAGGAGTGTATGTATCTGCAGCCATGTGTATATGTGGGCATGCTTACAGGTATATATGTGTTTAAGTGTATATGTTGGTGTAGGCGTATGTATATGCTCATGTTTTATCAGTGTCACTTTTGTGCTTTCAGCTTGAAAAGTGCTCTACAAAAAGCTATTATTATTATTATTACTACAGTACAGTGAGGATATTTAATGTTTTCTATCTAAATCAATGTGTTCCATTACTAGTAATTTAAAAAAAAAATCAGCTTTCACTCTTCACTCTGAAGCAGCAACCTGCTCTCTTCCTGTTTGTTCAAGTCACAGATACTCACTTCTAGAAATGACTTGATAAGATGGAGATTTTTAACAGTGATGATGAAAAGTCTGGGCAAGAAAAGCGAAAAATAACATTTGTAATTTTGCTTTTTTCCTACAAAAACTGCATATTTTACACTCCCCAGGCCACTAAAAAATCCTTCAAATGAAACAATTTGTAAATGAAAACAACTCATGACTCATGTCCGAAAAAAATACAAGGAGACTGATACATTTTGAGGACTCGCAAGCTGTGTGTGTAACACCTTTCTGTTGCCTGTACAAACAGACTGTCTACTCTGCGCTTGGTTGCTGAGTTTCAGAGTTTCAGAAAACACTACAGAGGTGGTTAAAAACTACGGCCAGTTTTCTTAGTTTGGACCGACGACGAGGTGGGACTGTTACCGAAAGTAACACAAGTATAAGGCAGGCAATGTGGCGGAAAACAGATTGGGAGTCGTTGCAAAGCAAATACAGCGACACATCAGAGCGGGACTGAGAGCATCATCACTCGTCAGAGGAATTTAACACCACTGCTGAAAATAGTCCCTGACAAATGCACTGTTTGCTCATATTTGATAAAAACTGCAGTGACCAGCTGTTTTAGGAAATCACTGACTTTTTTTTAATGAAACTATATATTTGTGAGCCATTTTGTAAAGTCTTCAGTAGAAACCAATGGGCTGAGAGCCACAGAGAAAAATCAGAAAGTATTGAGATTCGGACTAACAGGTTTGTTTTGTTAACGGTAACACCAGACTCATCCTTGGAAGAGTCCACAACTGTGCATTCTCCCTTTTCACTGCTTCACGTGAGTGAAGTCGATGTCACGAAAAGGAAATCAAAGACTAAAAGTGTGAGCTAACAAACATTTACATTTATTCAATTTATAAAATACAGTAAAGGGTTTTTAGAAATGTTACAAATGTAAAAAGACACAAAACAAGTGACAATGGATGAACATCACTGATCCATCACCAACTCTGGAGGCATTTTAAGGGCTTTGAATGTTCTGATTAAGTGCCTCAAAGTTCAGAGAACATATTTATCAACACAGCAAACACATTTAACAGGACGACGCCGTCATCAGCACCAGAACACACAAACAACAACTCTCAGAATATTTAGTTTTTGTTAAAAGCAAAGGCCAACAGCTTGGAGGAGGGATCCAAAGATTTCTTCTTCTTGGCACTGTTTTCATCTGCTTCCGCCTGTCCATTTTCATTTTCTGCACCTCCTCCTTCAGCTCTCTTCCTCTTCTTCAGATCTGCTGCGTCTCCACTTTGGCCTTTTGCTCTTTCCGTCCACGACTAAGCAAAATGGAAAAGAAAAAAGACATGAAATGCACGTGTTAATTACTGAACAGGACAAACTGAAATCGTATTGTTCTTCAGTTTCAATTAAGGCTCCAAACACCTACATGATGATGACTGAACACACACACACACACACACACACACACTCACTCACTCACTCACTCAGGCGTGCAGCTTGAAATTGCATCCTGTCATGTATAATCACTACTGACAGGCTGCTGCCTCTTTTCCCTCCTCATGCTTTTATTTTTTTACCCTCTTTCTCTCCGAGCCGAGACAAAAGGAGGCGCTTTCCTGGACGTAATGGAGCCAGGATGAATCATCAGGCCTGGTGAGTGGACTGGCAGCAACACAGGCCACACACACACATAAACACACACACTCTTCACCTCCAGTGCCCGATGAAG